TCTGGCAGAACCTGCTGCGCCTGCTGGCAAACGCAGTTGCTTCCTTCCCGCCCACATCAATCAGGGGCGAGGGGGCGGGCCCTGGAGACACCTAGAGATAACTGCCAGTGTGCAGGGGGCCCTTCCGAAGTGCTCCCAGGAAACACGCCCTGCAGCTTCCAGAAGCAGGGACTGCACAGAGAAGAGGCCTTGGGGTCAGCCGCTCCTATGGTAACGACCCCACGGCACTGGCCTAAAGTATCACCATAAACGAGCAGCAAGCCCACCTCTTAGGAGTTAGCATCTCCCTGCTAGAGAACACTTGGGAAATATGCAAAGAGGAAAAGTAACCGATAAGGATCGCATTCCCAACAACCTTTTTCAATCTTCACATGACCCAAGGGTTTTTGTGTCAAAACGGTGCCCTACAGGTTAAAACCCCTGCAGGTACTTACCATCACCTTCTATAACACGGTTGCAGTGGAAACAAACATCACCAAACAGCTGAAAATGAAAAAAAAAAAAAAAAAAAAAAAAAAACAGCTTATGGGTTCTCTGATAAATGGAAAGTTCTCAGCAATCCCACTTCTGGGTATATACCCAAAGGAAAGGAAAACAGGATACCAAAGAGATACTATATTCCCATGTTCACTGCAGCATTATTCAAAACAGCCAACATATGGAAACGACCTAAGTGTCCATTAATGAATAAATGAATGGATCAAGAACATGTGGTATATATACAATGGAATATTATTCAGCCATCAGAAAAGAGGAAATCCTGCCATTTGAGACAAGATGGATGGAACTTGAGGGCATTATGCTAAGTGAAATAAGCCAGACAGAGAGAGACAAACACTGTGTGATCTTATTTACATGTAGAATCTAAAAACAAACAAACAAAAAAGTCAAACTCACAGAAACAGAGCAGAAAAGTGGTTGCCAAGAGCTGGGAGGGTGGGGGAAATAAGGAGAGATTGGTAAAAGGATACAAACTTTCAGCTATAATATAAATAAGGTGTGAGGATTCAATGTAAAACATGGTGACTATAGTTGACAGCACTGTAGTGTATACTTGAAATTTGCTAAGATTGTAGAACTTAAATGTTCTCACCAAAAAAAAAAAAAAAAAAGTAAAGATGTGTTACAACTAAGTATCAGAACGCCAAACACTTAATATAAATAATTTCAGTTCTTTGTACAACTTAAATAGCTGGCTACCTAAACCCAGAACCTGCCATTACTAGAGAGAGAATCAGTAAAAGTTCACTGAGCACTTTTTACTTCCTACAATGAAAAGAATTTACTCTTCGTCATGATCAAAAACAAAGGCTCTGGAAATGTTCTGGATTTCAGGAAGCTAAAGGAGCACGAAAACCCTACACTGGGTCTGATACTGGAGTGGAATAAAGGCCAGAAGGGCTTTATTGGGTCAGGTGACAGAACTGGAATGGACAGATTGAAGTAATCAATACCGATAACCATGGTTACATAAGAGATTCCCGTATTCTTGGGAAATGTGGGGTAAAGGAGCATGGGGAACTCATCATCAAATGCTTCAGAAAAAATACGTGTGTGTTTATATGTGTGCATAAACTTGTATATAAGGAAACGTGCATTCACGTAAGTGTCTTCATAGAGAGGGCAGGACACACACACGCTGAAGCAGGTAGTAAACCTGAGTAAAACAGGTAGGTATTTCCTTTGTATTTTTTTATTTTACAACCTTTCTGCGAGCCTGAAATGGTTTTCCAAATAAAACGTTAAAAAGCAATCGCTATAGCCCAACGTACATTTCCCCAGAGCTCTCCTTGTACTTAAGCATTGAGAGGCTCAGGCTCATACAAGTGTCTGTAGTATTCCACGAGCCCCGTCACTACCTGGTTGTAGTGGGTTTCACAGTACGCCAGGCCCTTCCTCTCGTAATGGCGATGTCCGAGAAACGGTTTCTCACACTTGGCACAAACAAAATGCTGAAAGAAATTGCGTTAGGTCATACTTGGATTGCCGTGTTTTATTTACACAGTGAAGCAAAACCCCAAAGCTGAGGCAGCTCAGAGGAGATCTGTGACGGCCTGGGGTGCTTATGTCCTTTGGGCCACAGGTGACCCTGTAGTGCATCCAGCCTTTGTCCAGGCATCCGGAGGCCTAGACTCGACAGCACAGAGTGAGGACAGAGGTGAACGTGGGGACATGTCTCTGGGCTGGACCAGGACACCTCCTGCCTCAAGGATCTAGGAAACAAGAGCACTGCTTGCCGCGCCACTTGGACGTCACAGAGCCGTGCAGAATCTATGTTCTTAGTCTTCCACGAGGTCCACATGTGCCCCTCAGCATCGCCCAGCCTCACCAGCGCACCTGAGCCTCGGGCGTGAGAGGGCCCCGGTCACCCCTCCGCAGGGAACTCACCTCCACGTGCCACTGCTTGCCCATGGCGTTCACCACGCGCCCTTCGATGGGCCGGCGGCAGGCGCCACAGATGGGGACCCCCATCTTGTCGTGGCACGGCAAGCAGTACAGCTCCCCCTTCAGCTCCCGGGCGTCGGCGGTCAGCTCCTTCCTGCCCACGAGAAAGGGACCCGCTGAGCAGCACCGCGGCGAGGCAGGCAGGCAGGCAGCCGGTGCAGCCCCTGTGCCTCCGGGTTTCCGAAGAGAACCCGCAACGACCCCTGTAGCTGCTTTTATCCCCCTTGGAGGTGGTCAGAGTAGTCTGATCAAGAGGCTTGAACAGGCTTCAGATTCGTATCCAAACATCAGCATGATGCAGTGTTGACAAGCCGGACACACACCACCGCGCCGGCCACAGTTACCGTCCCCTGTCTGCTGTCACTTTAGAGTCCCTCGTCTTCCTTAAAACGCTGGGGAGGAGTATCCCAGTCGTGAGGACAGACTCGCCCATATTATCTTCCCAAAATAACCGAGGAGTTTGGAGACTAGCTCCACTTAGTGACACTCACTAGCAAGCTGCTAAGAGTTAGTTTTAGGTGAAGAGAAAATACACAGACGGAATGCTCAGACTGTTCCTCCTCCAAATGCTTAAGTTCACTACTATTTTAAGTCTCCTGAGTCAATAAACAGAGATGGCCCCAAATCAAGACGAATTTCATCGGGTTTAAATGATTCTTTAGAAGTGCTCATGAACAGTGAACCGAAGGAGGACAGGCAAGAGAACGAGATAAGGTAGAAACTGAACTCCCAAAAGAAGCTGTCTGTCAGCCTTCACCCCAGCTCTCCACTCCCTACCGTAACTTAGCATGGATGGTCACGCTGACTACAGTAAAGTATCTTTTCCATTAAGTTCTTATATTAGATGGCAGATTCCGAAGCTCACAGCCTAACAATTCATCATGAGCTTTTGAGGAAAAAAAAAAAATTCCCTCTAGGTGTAAACACAGCAAAAGTAACAAATGTAATTTAAGATAACACTCTAATTGTCACACCCTGTTACGCACATACCAAGATAAGACCTTTTTAAGTTTTTTGTTTGTGGGTGGATCCTGTACTGGAAGAACATAGTTATGAAAAACAGTTGTGGGAATCATTAGGGATATTTTAATACGAGCTGACTATTTAAAGGTATGTGTATACGTTCATGTGTACACGCACACACACAAATGTGGCAACATGTTGCCCGGTGAGACTGAATGAAGGGTATGGCGGTTCTCTATGTATTAGTCTCCAGACTCTACTACAGGCTTAACGTTTTCCAGATTAAAAGTTGAAGGAAAGCGATTTGGGTGCCAGAGTAACAGAAAGGCTATAGATCAGTGTGATCACTGGTTCCCTCTATTTGTACAATGAAAAGGAAGACACTGCAGTACCCGCAGTTGGCACAGTTGAAGTGGTCTGGATGGTAGGGGTCGTTCTTGAATATCAGAGGCTGCTCGTCAATGATGGCATGACACTTCTGGCAGATGTATTTCCCAAGGCCTCGGGCTTTCTCTCGGTTATGGCAGGGGCGACACAGATGTCTAAACAGACAGAGCCAAAACTGTTTTAGAAACTTAAATTTAAAATCTAAGGTTCTTCCTAATAATTAAAAAAAAAAAAAGATTCCCATATGTATGAAAAGAAATTAAAGAAACCATTTCTTTAAACATCACCGCTGGGCTTAAAAGAGCAGAACCGAGCCCTGACTTTTCACACGGAGAGTTATTTATCCCTCCCAGGGGACCAGACTGATGGCTGAGAAACTCCCTGCAGTAGCCTCTCCCGCAGACACCGGGCCCCACGCCCCAACTCCGTGTCCGAGGCCCCAGGGAGCACGCGCGACCGCGGAGCGCCACTCTGCCCACCCGTGCCCGACGGGTGACAGGGTGCCCCGCTCCTACCTCCCGGCGCTCTTGACAAACCCGATGTCTGCCAGGACCCCCTGGCAGAGGTCACAGCGGAAACACTCGGGGTGCCAGCTGTTGTTCATGGCTTTGATCACTCGGCCGATGATGAATTCCCCTGCGGAGAGGAGCGCACGGGCTGCAGCGCGGCTTCCCCGCCCTCAGCCGCCGGCAAAGCACCTGCCCCTTCCCCCCCCCCCCCGG